ACTTCATACGCGTCACACTGGCTGATATGTCTCGAGCCAATTTGAGTGCCCTCGGTATAGCATTAATTTAGGTCATTTAGGAATCATCAGTGCATATGGTGTTCCTCCTATGGAGTAAAGTTCAATGAATCAGGGGTAAATACGTGCCGCATTCACGTATGCAAGCAAAGCGTGAATCGTTCACGGTGAATGTTTGAACGGGGCTTCGGAACAGCTTTACATGAGCAGTACTTGTTTAATAACTTATTAAAGCTATTTTGAGCAGCGCTTGGGGATGGGTCTGATCGACATTGTGACTACAAAGCTGCATGGTTGGACTGTACCGCAGTTAGTGGGCATGAATCTCGCAGTGAGACTCTCATTCAACACGCGACTCACGTGACGTGAGGGAGTGTCTCACTCAGCATGTGACTCACGTGACGTGAGGGAGTGTCCCAAATCCATATATTTCATGTTGGAACTACGAGTCGGTACAGCGGTGTTCGCGCACGTATGCTGCATACGGTGTGCACGAATCTCGCTCCGCCATTATTCGCTGCATGAAACGGCTCAGGTTGAAATGAATAAGATAAGAAGCCTTATCACCTATGGCTATCCCAGGTGTCGTTGAGTCACCCAGTGCGGATGTTACTACTAACAAGCGGTGCGAAGTGTTCCACGTCGCGTAACACTAGCGATACGACGATTCTCCACGGTTGAGAGTTTTGGGATTGAGAATCCATTGGGGTGACCCCAAGCTTCCATATCTCTTCGAGGCTCGAAGTTCGAGCAACCCTTTTCAACTCTTTGCTAATACATCACTATACTTTCGTGACGAAGGGGCAGAGCTCACTGAGGCTACGTCCATGGACCCAATCAATGAATTTTGCAGAAGATAACCTCCCGTGCTTCGTAGTTAAGCCTGTGCCGATGTATGCAACTCAATACGGCCTTGTTACAGATAGCAAGACTTGATTATACACCAATAACTTATGAGTAACGAATGGGATGGTATAGCTTAGCTAATATCTTAGCTGATACAAATGGGGACAACGGAGACACAGATGTGCATACCGCAACAGTCTCAATTGACAACAGTTAACATAATATGTTCCCATATCAGCACACTCCCCCAAGTTGCCAGTAAATGACAACTTGTATACTAGCAGTCACTCTTTACGAGCAATTTTGTTAGACTTCAACATATCTGAGACTCTGTCGACTGCCCTCTTGCGGCTTCGTGTCATGACCCCAGCACCGTCATTCATAACAGCCTCTTGCCATATCTTCAACTCTTCTCGGCTCACTGGAGGTTCTTCCTCATGCACTTCGGGCTCAACCTCAACTTGCACACCTTTTTCCAGGAAGGTGGAAGAAGTAGGACCCTTACCGGTCTTAATAGGTCTTCGTCCTTTCTTCAACTGGTTTACAGGGCATTGCATGATCACATCGTCATCTGCCTTCTTCAAACTTATAGTTGCTCCATCACGGTCAACAACCTCATAGGGACCAGAAAATAAGGTACCATATTTTTCAGCAGTTGGGTTACGACGCCAGACAGTATCGCCAATTGTTATAGAGTCTTGGTCAGTACGTCGGATCTTGGCCAGTCGTCTTCTAGTTTCGCCCTTCCGGCGGATCCACAATGACTTCAGCTTTGATAAAGTACGGATATTGTCGTTGAGGTAAGCCTCTTCAAGGAACCAAGTGGTTCAATTAAATCATCATACAGCAGTCCC